TTAAGATAGGTGACATTACTCCTAAGTACTGAAAATAAACAACTCTACCTGGCATCTATCTACAACACTCAGAATGACATCCAGCCACTTCAAAGGTAGAATGATGTCTGTGATTCCAACATGCATGGATCAAAAATACTGAATACTGGAGTTCTGGAATCTGTTCAAAAGAGTAGCTCTTGGCCAATCAATCATCCATGAGCACAAAGATTTCTTTATCAGTGTGATGACACTATAGTGTCTGGAAACAACATATACTAAATGCAATATAAACCAGTAATTTAAAAAAATAATGATCTTGAGCCAAAATTTGAATTATTGGAAGATGTACAGGCTACTTGGCTGAAAAGGTGAGTAGGATGACTACTAAATCTGTTTTAAGTTTTTCCTAACCACCTGGTAAAAATTACTTCGCTTCTCTTGCCTAATCTCCAAGTTCCTGACACATTCCTTCTGTGGTAGTCAACTTCATTTGTCTATTACTAATGCCCTAGATTACTAATGGAAGTAATATCCTACATGTTAATTTTTCTCCTCAGCAAAGACACAGGGAGTGTAGTGTTTACTGGCTAGCAAGCCTAAACTTAAGAAAATAGCCTCTCTACTTTATTTGTAGAATCCACAATATAAGTAATTTACCAGTCAAATGGGGATGATAACAATAAAGGCTGGAGAGAGAAACGTTAAGTGCAAGTGTCAGCGTGCATAAGATCACACTGCACTGCCAATGATGGTGCTGCAGCCCTAGGAGCACAGCTAAGGATAAAACATGTTTTGGAGAAAACCAGAAAATGACAAAAAAGGGGGTTGCTTTAAAAAGCAACCCATGGCTTCACACTCTTTCCATCAGTTCTTAAAAATTACATTTGTTTTTGAAACTGAAATCAAGATTCTCTTGGCTGCATTTTAAGTTTTCTCATGCTTTTATCACAGCTGTCTGCAAGAACAGAAAGGATGGTAAGAAAAGATGCTATCATGCAAGAAGCCAAAATAAATGAATTTTGTCACCTGCTACTTTCCTTTTAAAGTCACAAGAGTAGCAATAGATAACTTCAAACTGATGACAAGCACCTTTATAGAATTAACTGTACTACCCACTATAATCAGTTCTCTTGCAAAGTTAAATAAAATTAAAAATTACTGGGTAATTAAACTATGATTATGCCAATTTTGAACTTCTGAATGAACTAGCTGCACATTCACTTGGCAAAGAGAAAACAGGATGCAAACAGGCAATGTGTCAGATGGGCTTCCAGAAGTCAATTTTCTTTGGGGAGACAGAGAGGATTAAATTTACCATAAAGATGAACACTTTTTAAAATCAGGCTATGGTAAGTATAAATCTAAAATTTATACTACACATATGTATACCCATTGCACAGTACATGCCTGGAGCACAGTGAACTGCAGGAAATTTCACAATCAACTCCCAGCTACTCACCATATTATATAGTAGGGGTAGGTGTTGAAACAAATTTCAGGTGCCAGACTAAGCCTTTTGCTTTTCAGTTGAAAAATTATGCTAACATGCCAACTTTCTCCTGTTATTATTAGTTTTTTTTTGGTCATTTGAACTACGATTCTCTCAAAAATCACTGTAGGAAATGAGTGATTCAGAACTCGACAATTGTGTTCTAACCCCAATGCCAGAGGGTTTAGCAGTTTGTAATAAAAACTCAATTCTAATCAAGATCAGGAAAGTCTTTAAAACAAACAAACAAACAAAAAACACCTTCAAGGTCATTTGAACCAACTCTTTTCACCAGTACTGGGTGTTATTGAGATTGAGCCCAGGGCCCACCTCTAAACTACATTGTCCCCCATTTTTAGTTTTAGTTTGAGTCACTAAGTTGCCCAAGATAGCCTCAAATTTACAATCCTCCTACCTCAGCTGAGATTTCAGGCCTGCACCACGGTACTTAGCTTATACCAGTACTTCTATATATATTATACTAGCCTGCTTCTAAAATGTCTCATGGAAGAAATGCTGAATTTTCTTGAGAAACTGTTGGTATTGAGCAAAATATCAGAACAGTTTTCCCATGCTGAGTATATTTTTGATCAAACTCTGAAAATATTTCTTTGTGTTTTCCTGTACTTACCCGTAATGTCAGTGTGCCCATACTCTTGTTATGGAACAGTTAGAATAACTCATACACATTCAATGTGGAAATCTGCTTTCTGTTTCTACTGATTTAACTTTTTTCTTTTGTGGTACTGGGGATTGAACTCAGGGCTCTCTACCACCCTTTTATTTTGGAACAAGATTTTGCTAAGTTGATGAGGCTGGCCTCAAACTTGCAATCCTCATGCCTCCCGAGTTGCTAGGATTACAGGTATAGCCACCATACCTGGCCTGTGGTTTAACTCCTGTTGCTTATTAAATGCTTTGCAAGCAAATACAAGTATTTATCATTTTATAAATGTGATAAAGCCTTAGTCATGTTGGCTTCTGCTTTAAAATATGTTCTGACACTCACACAGCTGATAGAAATGTGAAGATGATACAGCAACTTTGGAAAACAGACTGTCATTTCCTTAAAATGGGAAAATACAGAGTTACCATATCATCTATCAAACTCACTCCTAGGTACATACCCAAGAGAAATAAAAACCTATGTCCATGTTGAGATTTGTGCACAAATATTAACCAAGGGATTATTCATAATAGCCCAAAGTGGAAATAATCTAAATGCCCATCATCTGATAAGCACATAAACAAAATGTGGTAGCAATAGAATATTATTCGGCCATAAAAAGGAAATTATGATACATGCTATGTCAGGGATAGGCCTTGAAAACATTATGCCAAATGAAAAGAATAAGTCACAAAAGAACACATATTATATAATTCCATTGATAAGTAATGTCCAGGACAGATAAATCTATAGAAATAAAAAGTAGATTAGTGGTTGCCTAGAGATGGGGGGATGTTGGGGGTGGGAATAACGAAAGACATGACTTTCCCTCATTCCCTTTGCAGTACCAGGGGCACTTTATCACTGAGCTGCATCCTCAGCCCTTTTGATTTTGAGACAGTCTCACTAAATTGCCAAGGCTGGTCTCAAACATGTAATCTGCCTGCCTTAAGTCTCCCAAGAACTGGGATTACAGGTGTGTGTCACCATTCCCCATGAGTTTCTTTTGAAGAAAATGTTCTGAATTGTCTGGTGATGGTTGTTCATAACTGAATATACTAACTACTGAATTACACATTTTCAGTGGGTGAGTTGTGTTTGTTAATTACAATAAAACAGTTACTAAAAAATTGTTCTGAGACATGAGGTGCTTGAGAATCAGCAAACCTCTTCTAGAAAAAAGGTTTTGATTAAACTAAAACCACTGTAATTGAAACCAGCTTGCAGTATCTTGATGTGTATATATTTCTAAAATGTGAATGCAGTTTTAGGAAAATACATCATTACATCAGATATTCCAGGCAGCCTGCCATGAGACTTTTTTTTTTTTTTAACAACCCCCCACAAAAAAAGTCTTAAAAGGAATCCGTTTAATCAACTTCAGAGTATATGTTCTCTCTTGTTGCTTCATCTCCTTAAGCCATCATCTCCCTAAAACTCGCATGTTAAAACAGTACTTGGGCATGATTAATTCATTCATTTAACAAATAGTTGAACCTGTCCTGTACACCAGGCATGGTTTTAGGTATGTGAATGTGTGTGTGCAGACAAGCAGCAAGACAAAGTCCTTACTCTTGTGGAGTATTTAACTCAATAGGACAGGAGAAACAATAAATGAGTTTTAAAACTTATTTAAAGCAAGGTACCATACCATGGAGTAGTTAGGAAAGGAGGCTTCTCTGAGGAAGTGATGCTTGAGGTGAGAAAAGAAGGTACAAATCACACAAAGATCAGGGAAGAGAACTGCAAATAGAGGAAATAATTCCTGAATAGAGAATGGGGGGAGGGGTGTTAACTGTGTGCTGGTGACCAACCCTCCTCTGTGATTCTCATTCACTAACAAGCACGAAGATATCTGGGAGGACCGAGATGCCTTACCCACCTTAGACCATTAAAATGTCTCCTGACTCTTCAACTAAAGGAAGCTGTCTTGCGTCCTTCAGCAACTGTTCACTCACTCACTCTTGTAAACCATAATGGACTGTGCGAAGAGTCCCAGGACTTTTAAGACAAGACATGCACCTGACAACTTTTAAGGTAGGAAACAAGCTAGCAGCACAATAAATGAAGGTAAAATCAACAAATACAGAGTACAAAGTAAAAGTAGGCCAGAAAGAACTGTAAAATGTGAGGGTATCCAGGATGACTGCCAACAGGAGAATCAGAGGAGTTTCATGGGGTGGAACCACCAGAGCAAGGAATGTCTAGCCTGAGAATTTGGACATATGGGTAGAACAAACAGATTTGCTTTTATCTCTAACTTCAAATATAATTAAAAAATATTTTCAGCTCCCCAACCTGGTCACAATCTCAAGGAAAAAAGGCTTGATACTTCTCCTATCTCTGTGATTTTTAGTTTAGTATTTTGCAGAGATGGGCCATTCATTTGTTCATTCACTGCAAGAGATAAGTTATCAATTTCAGCCCTGAAGAAAGGCTAAATTACTTTTTGCTTCATAAAGAGCTTGTGGCCTTTGAAAGAAATGATTCCTGGAAACCACTTACTACGCTATTCATCTCATTTCAGAGGGACATTCCTAAGAGGTTTCTCAAAACTAAATCATATTACATATAAACAGGGATATGCAATGTGCTTCTGAATATAATACACGTATTTAAAAATTTCCACATGTACTTGTGCCTATATACATATTCCTTAAGTTCAGTATCTCAAAAATATTTTAAACTTGCACTGCTAAACTGAAGCTTTTTTTTTTCTTTCACTCAACACACTTTATCATCCAGTCCTTCAAAATCCCTTCCCGTCCCAACAAAGCATCTTAAACCAGAGAAGAAAAACCAACAACATTTTCTTAGGCAGCGTCTCAACACCTCCAAAAGGTATTCCATGGCCAAACTCACCATAAAGAGCTGTCCAAGTTTGATTAATTACATCTAGACACACAGTTCCTGACCTGAAACAAATAAGAATGGTATTTTTTTTAAAAATTAGAAAGTTAGTTGCATGTATCTGGCAACTAATTTTATTTATCACGAAAACACTTTTAATAGATCCTTAAATTTTAAAAATGGGGGAAAGTATAATGAGGAGCAAAATATTTACAAGGTCATAGGTGTCTCCTTACAGACTGAAAAGGAAAAATAATTATAAGAAACCAATAAACACCTGAGCCAGGTGGTCGGAATTAACATTGGAAACAAGGGGCAGATAGAGCTGTGATACCCTGATAAACACAAATTTTCCCTGTGTGGTTAAGCGTGTGCATACCCTGAAACTAATACAGAAACGGACAAATCCAAATTGCGGGAGAACTTATAAAATAAATTATCTATATTCTAAATGAAAGTAATTTTAAAGAAATGACAAATAAATGCAATATGTGGTTCTGGACTAAATCTTTTACTAAAAGGGGAAAAAATGCTAAAAAGTACATTACTACAATATAGCAATAGACTATAAAGTATTACATTAAGTTCCTGAATCTGGAAACTACTTTGATTACTACATTTTGTTGTTAGGATGACTGATATGCTGAAATATTAAAGCACAAAGGGACACAATATATGTACCAACCTACTCACACAAAGTTCAGAGAAATCTCACAGGTAAGCTTTATGAGGGCAAAATGGGATACTGTGAAAAGTAAAAACTGCAGTCCAAATGGTCATGCCTTCTAAATAGCACTGGAGAGGGACACAAAGACTGCACTGGGACCACTTTAACATACCATTAACACCACAAGGAAAGAAAATGAAAATGAAGATTCACAACTGAAACAAAACTTTTCTCTCAAGAACTAAGAAATACATTTATGGGCTAAAAATGGCAAATCTGTATGCCAAAAACAGATCTCTGAGCTGTGTCTATATGATGAGAACTAAGATGTGAAACATTGCAAATGTTAGCTGGATATCAAGGGAAGTGAAGGATGCAGGCATGACAATGGAAAAAATTAACAATGTACAGCGAACCAGAACTCAGTGGTTTAAAAGAGCATATCCCTAGGACTGTACAGTTTAAATGACACTCATAGTCCACCTCCCCCATAAAATCCTAGATGATAAATACAGATTATTTCATAACCAGGAGAGAAAAAAGAACTCTAATCAAAAGCAGTTGCTACTAAAATGTAAACATTTTTAAATAGTTACTTACGCTTCATCAATGTTGGGATGGAAAATTTTATTCATGAATCCTGTAAAAAGAGATGTTAATTAGCAGCAAAAAGTATCCAGAGAACAATGAGTTTTAAAGTATGTCAGAAACAACTTCAGTATGATAAGGAAAAAGGTGATAATACTCATAAACCAATACTTTCAACCTTAGATCATTGACTATATTCTGTTGGCTCCAATTAACTAAAATATATGAGAGTTCTAGTAACAAACAAACAACTTTTGGGGAGTAATGAAGCTTTATACAAAATAATCTTAAAAGCAAGTGCTTCCTAAGCTATGAAGGTACTTGCCAAAGAAGATTTTTTTAATACTAAATGATTTATAACTAGTGTTATGATAAACATTAAGAAACTTCACTGACAACCCCCCACCACACACACACAGTTTTATTGTTCAAGCTCTGAACTTTAGGTTCTGCACTTGAACTTCTCCTTCTGAGGCTCATTTACCGTCATCATTAGGCTACACCTTGTACGGAACATGAATGAAGCTGTTGAAATGTTGTAGGAACACCACTTGCAAACCACAAAGGATTTCACAAGAAGTGACCAAAATATTTCCTTTAATTTTGTCTACTCATTCAAGGAAACCCAATCTTGATTAAAATTGAGGCAACTAAGAAATTAGGCAAGGAGTTTTAAAAAATTCTTCAAGATGGCTGTATCTGTCAGGGATTTTTTTCCCCCTAAAAAACAAGTACAGATTTTAATGTACTGCTGTTTAAATTGCAAGGAGAAATTATTTTCTAACTTAGAATCAATGATTTAAGCAATATTTGTATATGCAAATGACAATACTCTAAAGCAGAGATCTATTGTCAAAGCTGTCATATTGTCATTTTTTTCCACTTTATTTCCTTACTGCAGCAGTTTTTGCTATTGCTGTGCCCCAACCCCACCTTCCCTCACCCATCCCCACAGGTTCACTCCCTCATTTGAAACATAGCAGCAACACCTACATGACAGCAGTTGTGAGTTTTTTAGGGTACAAAAATGAAACAATACACCATTCTCCAAAAGGTCACTAAAGAAGGCCAAGAGCCAGGAAGAAATAAATGCAATGTGTATAAGGTATGGACACAGGGTACACGTGGAAAGGGGAAGAGTCTTAAAGATGCAGAGAGGCAGCACCGCAAGTGCTGCAAGTGAGCTGCCATCGACATTATCTCCAAAAATCTTAGAAACTTTTTTCGAATTAGCAATTGTGGGAAAAGAATACAAAACCTCCAATATTCCAGTCTTTGACTGCTCTAGCTACTCCAAATACTAATCCTGCTTCAATTTCTGTTTTTACATTCTTTTTACTCTCTGTACTGAAACAGTTTTATCTACTATAATGAAGAGTGTTTAAATTCTTTAGATGCCCCCCACCCGCCCCTCAACACAAAAGCCAGGTTCAATATTAATTTTTCACTAAGGAAAATGAAGATGTTTCAAAGTCTAGACTTAAGGGGTATGTATTTTACAAAGAGATCATAATAAGCTGATAGAAATGGTCATGCCTAAATATTAAAAAACAGGGGGAAAAGTTCCAGATGGCCATAGTTATTCATAGCAGCATTGTTATAAAAGCCTAGAACCAAATTCAACCTCATGAACACGAGATGAGCTATAAAGTACCCATATACTTGGGAGTCCTATACAGCCAAACATAATCAACTAGACCAATATGCACTAACTTGGATAGAGATGAAGCTCAGTTAAAAAGAAAAAACACATATAGTTACAGCATACTAAAATAAAGCAATAATTCTTATCTCCATGCTTTAAGTATGGAAAAACATATCAAAGTTGTAAAAGTATTTCATGTAGGGTACAGGGCCATGGCCATGGTGGGAATAGGGAACAGAAGAGGAAATAGCAATTAAAAATGATTTTATCTGTCACTATATTCCTTTTAAAAAGGGACAAAGTGCTTGTATATTATTTACTATTTTTTAAATGTTTAATACAAGCATGCACATAGACAAGAAACAGGAAGCAAATATGAACAAAGATTAGCAGTGTCCAATTCTTGATGGTGCAGGCCTTTTCTCCCCTGCATTTTCCATATCCTATCACTCCCTCTGTCACCCCTGTACCAGAAGTGGGATTGAGAAGATGTGAAAGGCCAGTGTCAACAGTAGTCGTTTTTGAGAGACTCCCCCATGATTTCTCTCTTCTTTTGACTCTCCTAAATTTCTATAATGTGTAACGTCAATAGTTAAACAAAAATCACTTTCAGTCTGGGTGCAGCAGTCCAGGCCTGTAATGCCAGTGACTTGGGAGGCTGAGGTGGGTGCATCTCAAGTTCAAGGCCAGCAAGGGCAACTTAGTGTAACTCTATCTCAAAATAAAAAAGGCTGGGGATGTAGCTCAGTGGTAGAGTGCTTGCCTAGCATGAGTGCAGCCTTGGGGTTAATCTCTAGTACAAAAACAAACAAAAAACTCTTTAAATAAAAAGATCATAAACAACATCAAGTCTTCTAAAGTAATCTAATTATACATGAGTTAACAAGTGCTGAAACCTTTTAAGAGAAATGTTATCATGTTCACATCTTAATTTCTCTTGTTTAAAACAATTTTGGGGGAGGGGAGTGGTACTGGGGATAAACCCAGGGGCCTTCTACTACTGAGTTACGACACTCTAGCCCTTTTCATTTTGAGACAAGGTTTTGCTAAATTGCCAAGGGCAGCCTCAAATTTTTGATCTTCCTGCTCAGTCTCTGGGATTACAAGTATATACCACAGCATTAATCAAAAAATCCTTGGGTTCTAAGGCATGTCATCTTCAAGATCAGTTACATAGGAATATGCTGTTTTCCCTAATGCAAGGAAACTTTTTTTTTTTTTTGGGGGGGGGGGGGGGGGGGGGCACGGTGAGGCCAGGGATGAAACCCAAGACCTCACTTGTACTAGGCACTACCACTGTTACCTCCCCCAGCCCAAGAAACTTTCTGATGAGTGGGAAACAATGTTGGGCCACCATGTAGTCTAACTAAAGAGAATGGTTCTATGGGAAAAGTAATATGTTCTTTTTTTTTTTTGGTGGTGCTGGGGATTGAACCCAGGGCCTTGTGCATTCTAGGCAAGCACTCTACCAACTGAGCCATATCCTCAGCACCAAGTAATATGTTCTTGGTACTTACTTAAAATCCTGCCTCTGTTAGAACCCTTAAAACTAATACCTAGTGGAGAGTATCTATGGCAAAAGTTCCTGATGCTGGCTACAGATGAGAATCACCTGCAGAAACAAAATAAGTGCTAGGTTATAAAGTGGCTAGTGTTGGGGCTGGGGTTGTGGCTCAGTGGTAGCGTGCTCGCCTAGCATGCATGAGGCACTGGGTTCGATCCTCAGCAGCACATACAAATAAAGACAATAAAGTCCATCAACAACTTAAAAAAAAAATTGAAGTGGCTAGTGTTATAGGAAGGCTGGGATAGGAGTTGCAATTTTAAACATGATGGTGAGGGAAGGCCTTCCCGAGAAGATGCCTTATCCTGAAGGAGAAGCAAGAGCACCAAGGGGAAGAACATTTACTCAGCCCAAATGCTCAAGTGCAAAGCATATCAGGAGTTTGCTTAATGCATTTGAAGGTCAGCAAAGGCATTAGTGACACTGAAACGGAATAAGGGATATAAGACCAGAAGTGGGTCACAGAGGTGATCAGCACACTGAGGGCTCTTTTACATTCTGAGGGAGACAAAGCCACTTGAAGCTAGTGTCTAACATACTAATATAGTATCCATATCATTGAATTAAAAAAGAAAGGCTAGTTGGAGAACAGCTCAATCAGCTCATAGCAGTTCAGTGTTGGGGAAAGAAGATGAGGAATGGCTGGTCTCACATAAAATGGAAAGGGAATCCTAGAAATGAATTAAGCTTCAACAGTTTGATGCCACAGGGCACCCTAAAGGTGTAAGTCAAGAAAACAGCTGTGATAAAGAACTTTAAATGTTTATCAAAACTGTCTTTAAAAGATTAAAGTGCTTCCCTCATTGACCATGGCCTAGAGAATACATTTGGAATGAATATAGGTTCTACACTGTTTTCAATTAAATCTAGATTTGGCCTGGTTGAGTCTAGGAGTACATAGTAGACAGGCCCAAAAAGGACTTAGTAAACATGCTTTAGTAATAAGTGAATTGGGCCCAGTCCCTAGTGCCCTGCAAGACTAAAATACCATATGAGCTCTGGAACAGAGGGCAGAAGCAGACAGCAAAGAGCAAAGTAGTACACAAGGGTTCTAACCCCAGTTCTGCTCTCAACCATAGGCCCTGGGTCAGTCACTTCACTTCTGGGGTATGTTTCTTTATCTATAAAGAAAAATAGCTAGATTTCCAAAATTCCCACTCTTATTCTATTTTAAAAGGTCCTGTCAGCACCAAAAATCTAGGAGTTAACTATAATGAACAGAGTTCTGAGACCAGAGGACTTTATCAAAACACATTTTCTAAATTAAAATGACCTCTCCTTATTCCAAACTTTTTTAATTGTTTAAAAGAATGTATCCAAAGTAAGTCCATGAAAAGGAACATGTCTCCTTTGCATTTGTTCTTGGACAAGCTGTGAGCAGTATTTCTGGCATTCATTTACATTCTGGACAACAATGCCAACAATGGAACTTCTGGACCAGGACGGGAGACTGGGAAAGAACAGGCTAGGAATTCAGAGAAGGAACATTCTCAGGACCCAGTGTTTGCCCTGGCATGTTCTCCTTCCTTTTGGCAAGGCTATCACCACACTAATGAATATGTCTGCAAGAAGAAAATTTTCCCAACACTTGTTTCCATTCAACCAGGAACTATTTTGAAGATATTTTAAGAGAACATATTTTGAAAAAAAAAATTTTTTTTTTGGAAACATGATAAAAGGAAGCGGCAAGTCTTTTTCCTTTTTTTTTAGTGCTGGGGATCAAACCCAGAGTCTCAAATGTGTTAGGACAAGCATTCTACCTGAGCCCACCAAATAATTTTTAATCTATATGACTTGAGATTTTATTTACTACATTTTCTAATGATATATTTCAGTTATCTCC